ATGGTTGGACATCCATAGTGAGAGATTGAAGTTTGAATTACAGAGTTGGTAGGTAAAGGTAGCAAGGAGTGTATATTACAATAATAATGTAATTCAGGTAGGATTGACAACAAATGGTCAGCAAATTGACAGATAAATCAGATATGGAGAATAAGGAAAATGGAAGAAGTCAAAATGGGTCCAGGGTTTTGAACTTGTAGAAAGTAAGATGTTGTCATTAAATATAGAAATAGAGAACATGAAGAAAGTAGATTTGAAAAGGAAGATTAAGTTTGAACATGTTGCTTTGAGGTGGCTAGCATTTGAATGGAGAAATGTGGCAGGCAGATGGAAAGCTACCAAGGCCTGAGATTTGGGAATCATTTGCAAAGTGATTTTTAAAGCCTTGAGATTGCAAAAGGAAGGGTCAGAGGGTAATGGAAAAAGAAAGGAAGATAGCAAATTTTTGGGAAATAACTATTAAGAGAATAAGAAGAAAAGCCAACAGAAGGACAAAAGCAAGTAGAACTAAGGGAGGGGACAATATTGGAGAAACCAAGGAAAGATGTTTTAAGGAAGAAGTAAGATTCAAACCTGTTCCTTTGAGAAAGCTATGATGTAATGTTGGGAGTGGTGATATGTATTTTTTTCTGTCATATCATACATTATTTTGCTGAACTTACTGTTTAGCATAGTTTTTTACATGTAGTAGCTTCTGACAGTTGAGCATATCTTAAGGGATTCATGGACTCTCACCTGTGTATCTTTTAAGAATTAACATTTGGCAGAATGTTATATTAATATTGAGGCTCAGTGCGCTGTGCATGCAGTCTGGTGTCCTGCTGGAGGATTAAGTAAAGTCTTTGGGAATAATTTTTGCTTTGAAGATTTACTACCAAATTATCTGATTCAGAATTCCTCTGTGATCATTCTTGATCTTTTTTCTTTTTCTTTTCAAAATAGTAAAAATCCTAACCAGCAATAGTTGAAGGATCTCAGAGTGCAAGGAGGAAAACAATGGAATTTAGGCATTACATAAGTACTTGTATTTGAGCTGTTTAGCATATAAATTATTTTAAGGCCATCTTCAAGGAATATCAACATTTATTATTTTTATAGGTGCTTGCAGAAAACAAATAGGAAACTAGAAAGAAAATAACTTGCAACAAGTACAGGAAGACAAATATCAAAAAACTGAAGTTGATTTGTTGGCATTCTTAACTGAAAGATTTCAGCAGCATTTTGCAGAAAAGTCAGGCTAGAGAGAATTGATTACTTTGGTGCAGCATTTTATCCAGGAAAGACAAAGTTGGGACTGGTGGTGATCCTCCAGTATAGCATAAAAAAAGAAAAATCTATACCAAAAATATTTTTTTCAGTCCATCAGATTTGATCATGAATTTACTTAAAATTTTATAGTCCACCTGTATGACAGGAGTAGGCTTTTGAGTACACAAATACTAATTATTGAGGTAAAGGAAGATAAAATAAGCAAGTATAATCTAAAGCATTTATGTCTTGTTTTGTTTGACAGTATCATTAAAGATAAAGGCAATCTGCTTAAAAGACATACTTAAAAGTAGAGAGAGTATCTGGTGTGTTAAATTGATACTGTGTGGCATCTTTATAATCACACCCATTAAAGAGATGTTATTAGAATAAAGTTCACTAATTGTTAGAGTAGAAGCTCATGTACTTATGTAGAAGATTTTACATAGTTTGGAAGTTAACATTTAATTTTTGGAAAGGACTAGGAATCATTTTTGTAAAATCTGATTTAGTGAAAATATTCATTAGGTCTGGATATTTAAATAATCCTTTTTTATTGATAGTTTTAATTTGTATGAGTTATATGATTTTTTTATTCAGAATAGCTTAAGCAAAGCAGTAAATAATACATTTTGCTTTTCTAACATTTTTTTTCTCTTTGAGTGGTTATAAGAATGTATAAGTTCTTATCTTATTTGTTGAATTATCTTATATGTCATCCCCAATAAGTAAATTTGTTACTTTTTGCTCAGCGTTATTGGGCCTGATTAATTTAAGATTCAAAGCCTTAAAATATATTACTGTCAATTTTTTTTTCTTCTTTGGTATTTTGAATGGAGGGAATAGGAAATGACCTAATGGATTCAGCAGTGTTTATGCCATTTTACTTACATCTTTCATATAATATTAGGGCAAAAACAATTTCTAAAGCCCTCCTTTGAACAAAGATAACAATATCGTAGAGTATAACTGACCCTTGAGAAATGCAGGTGTTAGGACTTCCGCCAAGATGGAGGCATAGGTGGATAAGCCCTGCCTTCTCACACAACCAACTTTAGAGACAACTAAATATTAGCAACAGAAAACACAGTCAGAACACAGAAAATTGAACTTTTCGGAAGTCTGTTAACAACAAATTCTTCAGCCTGACCAGTAAGAGGGGCGAAACCAGCAGCTGGCAGACTGGAGTTGCACAGGAAAACTCGGTCAGACGGACTCAGGCACGTGGAATCCAGGCGCAGGGTTGGACCTAGTGAGCGACCGAGCAAGCGACCAAGCGAGCCACCGCGGGAAAACAGCGAGGGAGCAGGGCTGCGGGTTGACTGTGGTCTCACATTCGTATGCAGATAGACAAGCGAGGGAGTGGGCAATTCCCCGCGGCAAGCAGCAGGGAGGGCGCCGCCATTTCCCTGCTCTGACCCCACCTCCACATGCAGCGTCATAACCCAGCGACTCTGAGTGGCCTGGCCCAGGTGAACCACCTAAGCCTCTGCTCCTCACCCAGCAGCACAAAACAGCAGATGGTGCCACCATTTCACCGCTCTGACCACGCCCCCACATACAGTGTCACAACCCAGTGACCTGGGAGTCCAAGGCTCCGCTCCTCACACTTAAAGGGTGCGAACAGACCAAAAATGGCTCAAGAAGATCTCAAAGCCCCAGAGCCTATAAATCTAAGCGATGAAGAAATACCAAAACTCTCAGATGCACAGTTTAAAACACTGGTCATCAGGATCCTCACAGAACTGGTTGATTATAGCCACAAATTAGACAAATATATGAAGGCGAAACTAATTGAAATGAATGGAATTGCACAGGAAACCAATAGCGATGAAAAGGAAACTGGGACTCAAATCAATGGAGTGGACCAGAAGAAAGCAAATAATGGCCAAACAGAAAAGAGTCAGAAGCAAGAATTCAAAGAAATGAGGAGAGTCTTAGGAACCTCCAGGACATCTTTAAACGCTCCAACATCCGAATTATAGGGGTACCAGAAGGGGGAAAGGCACAGCCACCAGTGGAAAACTTATTTGAACAAATAATAAAGGAGAATTTCTCCAATCTGGCAAAGGAAATAGACTTCCAGGAAATCCAGGAAGCTCAGAGAGTCCCAAAGAAGTTGGACCCAAGAAGGAACACACCAAGGCACATTATAATTACATTAGCCAGAATTAAAATGAAGGAGAGAATCCTAGAAGCAGCAAGAGCTAAGGGGACAGTCACCTACAAAGGAGTCCCCATCAGACTGTCAGCTGATTTCTCAAAAGAGACCTTACAGGCAAGAAGGGGCTGGAAAGAAGTATTCCAAGTCATGAAATCCAAAGACCTACAACCAAGATTGCTCTATCCAGGAAAACTTTCATTTAGAATGGAAGGACAGATAAAGTGCTTCTCAGATAAGGTCAAATTCAAGGAGTTCATCATCACCAAGCCCTTATTATATGAAATGTTAAAGGGACTTATCTAAGAAAAAGAAGTTAAAGAAACATGAACAGTGAAAGGACAACAAACTCACAGTTATTAACAACCACACCTAAAACAAAAGCAAACTAAAAGGACAGCTAGATCAGGAGTGGAAACATAGAAATGAAGATCTCAAGGAGGGTTAGCAACAGGGGAGTGGGAGGAGGAGAAGGGGGGAGAAGGTACAGAAAATAAGTAGCATAGACAGTAGATAGAAAATAGATGGGGGGGCAAGAATAGCATGGGAAATATAGACTCTAAAGAACTTGAGACACATGGACATAAACTAAAAGGGGGTTAATGGTGGGGACGGGGGGGTAGGGTGGAGGGGAATGAAGGGGGGAATAGAACAACTGTAACAGCATAATCAATAAAAAATTTAAAAAAAAAAGAAAGAAAAATGCAGGTGTTAGAGGTGCCTAGGACCTGTCCCACCTCCACAATCAAAAATCCACGTATGACTTTGTCCCAAGACTGAACTACTAATAGCCTACTGTTGAAAGCCTTACTGATAACATAATCAGTTGATGAACACAGGCCCTGGTCAGGTAGTTCAGTTGGTTAGAGTGTCATCCTTATGTACCAAGGTTGCAGGTTTGATCCCCGATCAAGGCACATAAAAGAATCAACCAATGAATGCATAAATAAGTGGAACAAAAAAATCATAGTTTCGCCTCTCCTTTCTGCTCTCTTCCTAAAATCAATAAATATTAAAACCATTTGATTAACACAGGTTTTATATTATATATATTATATTCTGTATTCTTAAAGAAAGCTAAGAGAAAAGAAAATGTTAAAATCATGAGAAAGAGACAATACATTTACTGTCCTATATGTATTTATTGAAAAAAGTCCACATATATGTGGACACACACCGTTTAAACCCATGTTGTTCGAGGGTCAACTGTATTAATACTGTCAACAGCACATTTCTTCTCTTCTTCCCTAGATTTATGTATCTTTGATAGTAATAGGCCAGAAAGTATATTTGAAGACGATTTAAAAAAAATTCTCACCCACAGATATGATATGTTTTCACTGATTTTAGAGAGGGAAGGAGAGAGAGAAGAGAAACATTGATCAATGGTCTCCTATATGCACCCTAACCAGGGATTGAACTTCTTGTGTGGGGTGATGCTCCAACCAACTGAGCACCCAGGCAGGACCAAAGAGAGTTTTTATAAATGTATTTTAATGTTCATATATTATATACCTCGTGAATTGAGTACACTGAAGACAAAAATAATTTTATGTATTTATTTAATTATTGCATTTATGATTATTTGTAGGCGAAACCTAACCAAATTGTCCCTGATCTTCAGCCACATGCTGGCAGAACTAAAAGGAATCTTTCCAAGTGGACTCTTTCAAGGAGACACATTTCGAATTACTAAAGCAGATGCTGCAGAATTTTGGAGGAAAGCTTTTGGGGAAAAGTAAGTTCTCAAAATAATGAATTTGAATTACAAAGAACTAAAGCTTATACTGTGAGTGTAGTTTGTTTTTTTTAAAATATTTTATTTATTTATTTTTAGAGGGAGGAGAAGGGAGGGAAAAAGAGAAGGAGAGAAACATCAATGTGTCGTTGCCTCTTGTATGCCCCCAGTAGGGGACCTAGCCCACAACCCAAGCATGTGCACCTGGCCCACAGCCCAGGCATATGACATACATGTACCAAGCTGATATAACTCCCCAAGGATATGTCTTTAGTTTTTTCTGTATCCCCATCGTCCCACTCCCCATGTGTCTTACTATCACATACATTAATGCACCTATCTCTACAAATCTTTACACCTAAGTATTGCAAACCGATTGATAGGCAGGTAGATGACTGGCAGATGATCCAGTGGAATTTAGGTTTAGAGGAATTCTTTTAACAAATGTATATCGAGTACTTAATAGTTGTTCAGAATTATTCTAGGAACTGAGGGTTCTTTAAGGGAATGAAATAGAAGTGGTAGGCAGTAACAAATAAACAAAAAGGTATAATGTTTATTTCAATCTTAGTGGTTGTCATGAAGTAAGTGTACAGGGAGGTGTCACTGGGAGGGGATGGGGAACAGGGAGTTATTTTAGAATACCTCTGAAGAAGTAAAACTTCAGTAGAGAATGGACTGCTAAGATTGACCCAGGGTGAACATGCCAAGGTGAACAACCCAGGCATGAAAATTGAACTGGCAACTCTCTAGTTTGTAGGCTGGCACTCACTCTACTGAGACACACCAGCCAGGGATGTGGCTCAGTAGATAAGTTTAGTTTTTTATTAATGAAATTTAAAACATGGGAAAACAGAGTAAAATAATGACTGTGTATGTAGATATTATTCAGATTTGATAAACATAAATTCCTTTTTTGCCTTTTTGTTTTTTTAAAGAAATAAGTCTGCCCTGGCTGGTGTGGCTCAGTGGATTGAGTGCCAGACTGTGAAACAAAGGGTCACTGGTTTGATTCCCATTCAGGGCACATGTCTGGGTTGCACGTGAGGTCCCCAATAGGGGGAGCACGAGAAGCAACCACACAGTGATGTTTCCCACTCTTTCTTCCTCCCACCCCTCTCTCTAAAATAAATAAAAATCTTTTTTAAAAAAATGAAATAAGCCTTTGCAGATTCAGCTGAAACCTGTGCTCTTTGAACAGTCTTCTCTTCCCCTCCCTATTCACTATACTTTTGACATTCATGTTTCAAATTACTTGCTATTGCAAGCACTGCTGCAGTGAACAAAGCTGTTATTTGCTTTCATATGCAACAGTCTCCTTATTCACATTACCTAGGAGAGAAATTGCTGAGTCAGGGGGCTTCACATCTTCTGCTTTGCCAAACTGCTTTCCAAAGTGGTTGTACTAGTTTATGTTTCTATAAGTAGAATACATGAGTTCCAGTAGCTTTGCAATTTGGCTAACACTGGTAATAGCAATTGATACCATATTTTGCTTTATATTCCTAATGACATGGGAGATGGTACATCTTTTCACATTGATGACTAGTCAGGATTCTTCTTCTGACTTGCCTATTGCTCTTCCTGACTTCCATTTTTTTCATGTCGTAAGGTATTAATTTTTTTGTTACATTACAAATATATTCTCCTAGTCTATGGCTTGTCTTTTCACTTTGTTATGTTGTCTTTTGAAATACAGAAGTTGTAAATTCTATAGCCAGTTTTATGCGTCAAGCTTATGTTTTTACACATATTAATATAAATGTTCTTACATATCTGAAAATATTTTAAAATCATCACCTAAGGATATAGTCATTGATATTGAGGGAGGGGTGGGGAAGTGGTGGAGAGAGAGAAAGGGAGAGAAACATTAATCAGTGCGTCCCATACATTCCCTGATTGGGAATTGAACCCTCAATCTCAGGTATATGTCCTGACAGGCATCGAATCTGCAATATTTTGGTGCATGGGACAACACTCCTACTAACTGAGCCGCCTGCAGAGCTATATCTGAGAAATTTTTTATATTTTTATTTTTAAAGATTTTATTTATTTATTTTTAGAGAGAGGGGAAGGGAGGGAGAAAGAGAGGAGGAGAGATGTTAATGTGTGAGAGACACCATCCATCGGTTGTCTCCCCTGTACCTCCAGCTGGGGACCCAGCCCACAACCCAGGCATGTGCCCTGACTAGGAATCGAACTGCCAACCTTTTGGTTTGTAGACCGGCACTCGATCCACTGAGTCACACCACCAGGGCATGTGTGTCTGAAATTTTGAACCATAGAGATGAAAAAGATAGAAAACAATGCAATTTTTCAGTTGAATATATAGCCTAATGTATCTTTTTAAATGCTACCTTTATTTTTTAAATTAGGTTTACATATAAAATATAAAATAGTTAGGAATTTAGAAAACCTAGTTGAAGAGGGTGTGAATAAATTTAACTTTGTTTCTTTAACTTAATGACAACATTAGAAAAGAGTTCAGAACACTACTTGATTTTCAGGCAAGGGAGTACATAAGCTTTTCAAAGGCTTTATTTGTTTTAAAGATCTTAAGAAAGAGAAATCCCATAATATCTCTTGTTAGCTTTATCTGGGGTTTAATCAGTCTTATGTTCAGTAATTTCTTCCTCAGAACTATTCTTCCTATACCTTAAGCCTATTTCCTCTTGTCTAGTCCTTAATGGTGTGGGTTCCCCCAAAGAACTCATAATGTTTTACATGGCTTTAAAAAATGATTTTATAGGCTTTCAGTTAGTAAAGGACTAGCCCATAGATCATATTTGTTATATGATCTATGGGCTAGTCCTTTACTAATTATTTATAGAAAAAGTACTCTCATCTCTCTATACTTCTCTATTAGAACAAGTGTCTGAAGAAAGATGAGAAAGAAGATTAATTTGTAATATTCTCTCAAAGAACAGTGGAGAAAGACTTCTCTATTGATTTACTTACTAGGAAGTTAAGAAATACATCATTTACTTCCTTTCTTTTTTCAATCCAAAATACAGCTCAGCTTCTTTAAGAGCATTGAAATTGATATTTAGAACTTAATGTGGCTGTCTTTTCCTTCATTATAGCAATGCCCAGAATTACCTGTTTCTCACTCTGTGCTTTCTTATCCACCCACCTCATCCCAGGACAGTAGTCCCTTGGAAGAGCTTCCGACAGGCCCTTCATGAAGTACATCCCATCAGTTCTGGGCTGGAGGCCATGGCTCTGAAATCCACAATTGATCTGACCTGCAATGATTATATTTCAGTTTTTGAATTTGACATCTTTACACGACTCTTTCAGGTAGGATACTAAAAGTTGGTTAAAGTAGTTATTGCTGCTTTTCTGAAGAGGAAGCTTTAAAAATTAACATTTGGGATTTTTCCTATCATAAAATTGTTTTTAATTGTAGAAACTATAAGCAGAAAAAGAATAGAACTACATTGCATTTCATATTTCTATACAGATACAGATATGTATATGCACATATAGTATTTTTGGGTAAAAATAATAGCTATATAATTTGCTTTCCCTCACAATAATCTTTCTTTGTTATTAATATTCTTCTGCATCATTTTAATAGTTGTAGAATGTCCAGAAAATGGGCATACAGTCATATGCCTCATAACAACAGGGATTTTTTTCTGAGAAACGTATTGTTAGCTAGTTGCATTTTTGCGCAAATACCATAGAGTGCACTTATGCAAACCTAGATCGTATAGCCTATATACATCTATACATATGGTAGTTTGTTGGTTCTAGGATATAGACTTTTATAGCATGTAATTATACTGAATATAGTGGGTAATTTTAATACAAGTATAGTATAAAAGATAAAAATGGTACACCTATATGGGGCAATTACCATGAATGGAGCTTGCAGGACTGGAAGTTGTTCTGGTGAGCCATTGAGTGAGTGGTGAATGAACATAAAGGTCTAGGACATTATACTTCTTCAGACTATAAACACTGTACACTTAGGCTACATTAAATTTGTAAAATAATATGAGACTAAATCAAGTACAAAAGAAAATGATATATTCAAGATTATATGGTAAACACAAGCTATATGAGGCTGCTGCTGGCATGACAAGGCATACTGCTTTGTTTTTTTTTTAAATGTATTTTATTGCTTATACTATTACAGTTGTTCCATTTCCCCCCTTCACTCCCCTCCACCCTGCACACCCCTTCCCACATTACCTCCCTTTAGTTATGTCCATCTGTTATACATATAAGTTCTTTGCCTTCTATATTTTTCATATTATTCTTACCTTCCCACTGTCTATTTTCCACCTACCATCTATGCTACTTATTCGCTGTACCTTTTCCCCCTTTCTCCTCCCACTCCCCTGTTGCTAACCCTTCATGTGATCTCCATTTCTGTGGTTCTGTTCCTGTTTTAGTTGTTGGCTTAGTTTGTTTTTGTTTTTGTTTTAGGTGTGGTTGTTAATAATTGTGACGTTGCTGTCATTTTACTGTACATATATTTTATCTTTTTTTTCTTAGATAAATCCCTTTAACATTTCATTTAATAAGGGGTTGGTAATGATGAACTCCTTTAATTTGACCTTATCTGAGAAGCACTTTCTCTGCCCTTCCATTATAAATGAAAGCTTTGCTGGATAGAGCAATCTTAGATGTAGGTCCTTGCTTTCATGACTTGAAATACTTCTTTCCATCCCCTTCTTGCCTATAAGATCTCTTTAGAAATCAGCTGACAGTCTTATGGGAACTCCTTTGTAGGTAACTGCCTCCTTATCTCTTGTTGCTTCTAAGATTCTCTCCTTCATTTTAATTTTGGCTAATGTAATTATGATGTGTCTTGGTGTGTTCCTCCTTGGGTCCACCTTCTTTGGGACTCTTTCAGCTTCCTGGACTTCCTAGAAGTCTGGTTCCTTTGCCAAATTGGGGAAGTTCTCCTTTAATATTTCTTCAAATAACGTTTCCACTTGTTGCTCTTCTTCTTCTCCTTCTGGTGCCTCTATAATTTGATTATTGAAACATTTAAAGATGTCCTGGAGGTTCCTAAGCCTCTCCTCATTTTTTTTGAATTCTTGTTTCTTTATATTTTTCTGATTGGATATTTCTTTCTTCCTTCTAGTCTACTCCACTGACTTAAGTTCCAGTTTCCTTCCCATCACTGTTGGTTCCTTGTACATTTCCCTTTACTTCACTTAGCATAGCCTTCATTTTTTTCATCTAATTTGCAACCAAATTCAACCAATTCTGTGAGCATCCTGATTACCAGTGTTTTGACCTGTGCATCTGATAGGTTGGCTACCTCTTCATTGCTTAGTTTTATTTTTTTCTGGAGCTTTAATCTGTTCTTTCATTTGGGGCTTTTTTTTTTGTCTTGACATGCCTGTTATGTAGTAAGGGGTGGCACCTTAGATATTCACCCAGGCAGGGTAACCCACTTGGCTGTGTTGTGATGCTGTATGTGGGGCAGGGGTCCAAGAGAGAACAGTGGTGCTTGCTCCACTGTCTGCTGGATTTCAGTCAATTCCCCCACTTCCCACAAGCAAATTGGGCCCTTCTGGTGCTGATTCCTGTGTGGGTTGACTTGTGTATGTTCTAGGATCCTGTGGGTCTTTCCAGTGAATTCTCCTGTGAGGCTGGGAGTTTCTCCTGGCACCTCAACCCCCACGGGTGTTTTAAATCAGTGGTTTGAGTTTAAGGCTTACTTTCTCTGAGCTTGGACCCTGGCTTGTATGGTCTGTCCCGCTACCCAGCTTCGCCTGGTTTATCGGTGTGTGAATGTGGGACCACCTGTTCTGCCATCCACAGGTTTGCTGTGAGTCTTCTCCACCCTGGCTGGCTGCCTGACTGTGCCCCTTCTAGCAGTCTGGATGAATGTGTCTTCTTTAACTCCTTGGTTGTTAGACTTCCATGCAGTTTGATTTTCTGTCATTTTTGGTTGGTTTTTGTTTTTAAATTGTCGTTGTCCTTTTTTTGGTTGTGCAAGGAGGCACAGTGTGTCTACCGGCACCTCCATCTTGGCTGGAAGTCCCACAAGACATACAAGTAAAAAGAGTATACTTTAAAATAACAATAAAAAGTATTATGTAATAAATATGCAAAGCACTAATATAGTCATTTATTATCATTAGCAAGCATTATGTACAGTTATAATTGTATGTGTATACTTTTATGTCACTGGCAGTGTAGTAGATTTATTTAGACTAGTGTCACTACAGACACATAATGCTTTGCACTACAATGTTATGGTGGCTATGATGTTATTTGGTGATAGGTTTTTTTAGCTCCATTATCTTAATGGGACTACCATGCTATACGATGTCAGTCATTGACCGAAAAAATCATCATGCTGTACATAACTATGATATGATATATTTAATCAGTTCTATGTGTGTTTCCAACTTATCTTATTATTACATTGAAATTTTTGACTTCCAGTCAAGATAGAGGTGTAAGTAAATACGGCTTGCCTCCTTGTGCAACCTCAGTAAAAACTATAGTAAACTACAAAACAGCTATCACACAGAATTGTAAGACAGTTGAGCTGTATGGAGGTCCAACAGCCAAGGAATTAAAGAAGTCTTACTCATCAAGATTTGCTAGGAGAGGTGCAGATGTGAACATGCAGAGACATGGAACAGGCAGTCCCATATCCACATGTGGCGGATAAAAATTAGGAATATGCTGGAAGCAAGGGATCCCAGAACTACACCAGACCACTCAGCCTAAGGTTCCAGTGCCAGGCAGATAAGTCCCCATAACTTCTGGCTGTAAAACAGCCACTGGTGGGGGTTGGAATGGAGAATGAAACTGCAGGATTTTCAGGTGTTTCCTCTTAAAGGGCCTGCAACAGACTTAGAACTTACGCAGACTCACTTCCTCTGGACACTAGCACCAGGACAACAGCTGGAAGGGCACCAGTGGCAAAGGGGAGAAACTGAAGTGTCTGGCACCAGAGCAAGTGCCGGGGGACAGCTTCCTCCCAGACAAAACTCCAGAGACCAGCCAGCAGCCATTTTCCCTTTTCTGAGCCCTCCTCACACAGAGCCACACAGTGGCAACATTTCTGAGACTCCATCAACACGGTTTACATGTGTTGACCCACGGGTTGTCCCACCCTGGCAACTACCTAAGACTGCACCCAATCTAACTTGCGGATGCATGTTTCTACAATAGGCCATGCTCCCAAGACAGGGAGTCAAAGCAGCTCTATCTAATACATAGAAACAAACACAGGGAGGCTGCCAAGATGAAGAGAGAAAGAAATATGGCCCAAATGAAAGAATAGAAAAAAACTCCAGAAAAAGAACTAAACAAAATGGAGATAAGCAGTCTGTCAGATGCAGAGTTCAAAACACCAGTTATGAGGATGCTTAGGAACTCATTAGGTACTTCAACAGCATAAAAAAGACCCAGGCAGAAATGAAAGATACACTAAGTGAAATAAAAATTTATAGGAAATCAGTTCCCATAAGACTGTCAGCTGAATTCTCAAAAGAACCTTTGCAAGCTATAAGGGACTGCCAAGAAGTATTCAAAGTGATAGGGCCTACAACCTAGATTACTCTATCCAGAAAAGCTATCATTTAGAATAGAAGGATAGATAAAGTGCTTCCCAGACAAGGTAAAGCTAAAGGAGTTCATCATCACCAAGCCTTTATTATATGAAGTATTAAAGGGATTTATTTAAGAAAAGGAAGATCAAAAGTATAAATATTGAAATGGCAATGAATTCACCACTATCAACAATTGAATAAACTAAAAGCAAACTATACAAAAAAGAAACTAAGCAAACAAGCAGAACAGAAAGAGAATCATAAATTTGGAGATTATGGAGGGTTATCAGTGGGAGGGAGGAGAGAAAGGGGGGAAAGGTGTAGGGATAGGGATTAAGAAGTACAAATTGATAGGTACAGAATAGATGGGGTTGTTAAGGACACTATAAGAAATGGAGTAAATGAATGGATCAAAAAACTATGGTACAATTCTATGCAGCAGAAAGAAAGAAGAAGCTCCTACCCTTTGCAACAGCATAGATGGAACTGAAAAGCATTATGCTGAGTGAAATAAGCCAGGTGGTGAAAGACAAATACCATATGATCTCACCTTTAACAGGAAGCTAAACAACAAAACAAACAAGCAAGCAAAATATAACCAAAGACACTGAAATAGAGAATAGGCTGACAGGGACTAGAGGGGAGGGAATTTCAGGGGAAAAGGGGAAGGATTCACAGGAACAAGTATAAAGGACACATGGACAAAAACTAAGGGGGGGTGGAAATGGGAGGGAGGTGGGGAGCACTGGGGGTGTGGGCTGGGATGGGAGTAAAAGACAGAAAACTGTACTTGAACAATAAAAATAAATGGGAAAAGAAAGAAATGGAGTAGTCAAAGAACTTACATGCATGACCCATGGACATGAACTAAGTGGGGGGATTGCCGGAAAGAATGAGGGGTACTGGGTAGAGGAGGGCAAAGGAGGGAAAGGTACTATTATACAACTGTAATAGTATAATCAATTACTTTTTTTGAAAAAAGTTCTTGACTTTTAATATTGAGATGTAATAATACTTCAGAGCAAGTCAAGTTTTCTCTTTTTTTTTTTAAATAAAGATACTATATATGTGAGATAACTTGAATAAACTTTTATTTGGGATTAGCTTTTTAAAGTATATTTCATTCATTATGCTATTATAGTTGTCCCAATTTTTTCTCCCCTTTATCCCCCTCTGCCCTTCACCCACCCACTTCCCAGCATTCCCCCCAATCAGTTATGCTTCTTATCCCATGTACCTTTTTCCCCCATCTTCCCCCTGCCCCATTTCTGTGATTCTCATATGATCTCCATTTCTGTGATTCTCTTTTTATTCTAGTTGTTTGCTTAGTTTTGTAGGTTCAGTTGTTGATAGTTGTGAGTTTGTTGTCATTTTTCTGTTTATAGTGTTGATCATCTTTTTCTTAGATACGTCTCTTTAACATTTCATATAATAAGGGCTTGGTGATGATGAACTCCTTGAACTTGACCTGATCTGGAAAGCACTTTATCTGCCCTTACATTCTAAATGATAGCTTTACTGGATAGAGTAATCTTGGATGTAGGTTCTTGCCATTCATGACTTGGAATACTTCTTTCTAGCTCCTTCTTGCTTGCAATGTTTCTTTTGAGAAATTAGCTGTTAATTTTCTGGGCACTCCTTTGTAGGTAACTGTCTCCTTTTCTCTTGCTGCTTTTAAGATTCTCTGATTATCTTTAATTTTGGGTAATGTAATTATGATGAGCCTTTGTTATTGCTTCCTTGGGTCCAAACTGTTTGGAAGTCTGAGCTTCCTGGACTTCCTGGAAGTCTTACTTCCTTTGTCACATTGGAGAAGTTTTCTTTCATTATTTTTTCAAGTGAGTTTTCATTTTCTTGGTCTTTCTCTTCTCCTTGTGGGAACCGTATGATTCAGATGTTGGAACATTTTGTTTCCTAGAAGTTCCTCAGCTTCTCATTTTTTTCCTTCATTCTGTTCCAGTTGGATGTTTATTCCTTTTTTTCCAAATCGTTGATTTGAGACCTGTTTTCCTTCCCTTCACTTCCCTGTATATTTTCCTACATTTCACTTTGTATAGCCTTCATTTCTTCCTTCATTTTGTGATGGAACTGAATAATTTCTGGGAGCATCCTGATTATTTGTGTTTTGAACTATGCATCTGATAGGTTCTTTCTCTCCTCATCGCTTAGTTCTTTTTCTGGAGTTTTGATCTATTCTTTCATTTGGGCCATATTTCTTTGTCTTGGTGCCTCTGTTGTGTTGTAAGGGGTGTTGTAATCCTTAGGTATTTGTCAGGATGGGGCAACCCCACATTGCTGCATTGTGGCACTGTATTTTGGGGAAGAGTCAGATGGGGTATAATGCCACTTGTTTGGCTTTTGCCCTACTTTCCATCACTTCCCTCACTTCCCAGAAGCAGATTGTGCCCTTTCTTGTGCTAAAACCCAGGTGGGTGGGTATGTTCTAGGACTCTGTGGGTCTCTCCAGTGGACTCTCCTGGGAAACTGGGAGTTTCTTCTACATTCACAAGCCCCACAAGTTTTTACTGCCAGAGGTTTGGAGGCTTTAGTTTCCTGCACAGAAAATCCTGAGTTGTGCTGTCTGTCTCACTTCCCAGTTGTTCCTCCTGGCTTATCTGCTCTAATTGTGGGAAATCCTGTCTGCCAGCTACTACCTCACTCGACCGGTCTGCCCCCTTACCTGGTGTCCTCTACACCCTGGCTTTTGTCTCTGCCCTCCTATCAGTCTAAATGAATGTTTCTTCTTTAACTCCTTGACGGTCAGACTTTCATGCAGTTTGATTTTCTGGCAGTTCTGGTTGTTTTTTGTTTTTAAATTGGTTGTTAGCCTTCTTTTGGTTGTGTGAGGAAGCAAAGGCGTCTCTACCTACGCCTCCATCTTGGCCGGAACCCCCTTTATTTGGAACTTCTTAGTTGCACATGTAGTCCCTGTCTTATTCTCTTATTTTTATGTTTTTATTTAACGTCACTACTGTTAGATTTAAAATTTTTAAAATTTCATTTGTAAAGTTAAGTTTTCCCTGTAAGGATATATTTGTTTCTTCTTAGCTTTTTAAAATTCTTATTGCCCAAACATGTTTGTCTTCCCTCACAGTGCAATTAAAAATTTGTGACAATAAATGGAGAATTTATAATTGTGAATTGAGGTTCTTTGTCACTCTGAGAATGATTCCATGTCTTGAACCAAATGGTCTTACTGATCTCTTGTTTCCTTAGCCCTGGTCCTCTTTGCTCAGGAACTGGAATAGTCTTGCTGTAACTCACCCTGGTTATATGGCTTTCCTGACATATGATGAAGTAAAAGCTCGTCTCCAGAAATTCATTCACAAACCTGGCAGGTCAGTGCCATGAATCAAAGAGGCTTACTCTCCAGAATTTTATTTTCTTATAATCTTTGTTAATATAGAGGAAACACAATTTTTCACGAGTTCCCCAGTGGCTATGCTTCTGCAGTAAAATTGATGCCTGTTTATCTGAGGTATTGACTCATTCAGATATAATGATTTGATAAATACTTTCAAGCCACTTCAGAATTGGGCTTAGGTGTCTTTTGCTTTTTGGCCTGGAGTCAGTGAAGAATCTGTTATTGATGGTCCTTTTGATTTTTGTCCCAGTCTTACCTTCTGCCCTAACATAAATTTATTATATATTGAAGATTCTGTTTATCTCTATTCTCAGTTACATTTTCCGGCTGAGCTGTACTCGTCTGGGTCAGTGGGCTATTGGGTATGTTACTGCTGATGGGAACATTCTCCAGACAATCCCTCACAATAAACCTCTCTTCCAAGCACTGATTGATGGCTTCAGGGAAGGCTTGTGAGTAACTACCTACTGTTTACCATGTGCTAGAGTCAAGGAACTTAGATGCCATAAAACTTTTTCATTAATGACTTTATTTTGGGTTTCTTCTACATGTTAAGAGTCAGGAAACGTATTAACACTTTATATTTTGACCTTCAGGTTCTGTAGAATTTCTGTTTTTACTTAAAAGGGATTCCTTGAGTAAAATAACTTTTGTCTAATGGTTCATTTATTACTATGAGTAAAGTTTATCTTTTTCCTTTTATAAATGTTAACTTATGTTTAAGTCTATGTCAGATGTAAAATTATCCCAATTATCAGAAAATGTTACCAGTTATTTAACTAGTTAACAATAGAGTGATTAGATTTTTTGCTCCCAATGACGGCAGGCTCGGTGGCCTTCATCCCAACTGCACTTTGGTTCAGCAGCATTTCTTCAGGCTTTGGGCTCTTGTAAATATATGCTAATGTTTATGATTAAGTTCTTTTATTCCAGAATTGCTGTTCTTTTGGGAATTCAAATTGATTATCAATTTGTAAGTGCTGAAAGTACTAACAGTTGACCAGATATCAGAAAACTACTTGTGTATTTTAAGGTGATTAGGGAAGTCCATTTTCTATTATGTATCATTTTATGCAGTAGCATTAGAGTTTCCCCTAATGTCAGAACAGTTTGGTGCTAGAAGCTTCGTGGTAGATGATCTCAGTGGCTTAAGTTGCTTCCTATTACTTTTCTTTTAAATTGGTGTCTATCCGTGGTAAATCTGATTTAAAAAAGGGGTGGTGGTGGTGTTTCAGGTATTTGGTCAAAAAAGCAAATGGAGTTTACTGTGGCTGGGTTGCCAATTGGTTAGAGCATTGTCTCCATATGCTAGGTTGTGGGTTCAATCCCTGATTAAGGTACATATAAGAATCAACCAATGAATGCATAAATGAGTAGAAAAACAATTCTCTCCTATGCCCGTCTTTCTCTCTTACCCCCCTCCTCCATCTCCCTCTCTTCCTTCCTCTCTTTCTCAAATCAATTAAAAAAAGAAGCCCTGGGGGCCGTAGCTCAGTGGATTGAGCAGGGGCTGTGAACCAAAGTGTTGCTGGTTCGATTCGTAGGCAGGGCACATGCCTGGGTTGCAGGCCAAGCCCCACTTGGGGGCACACAAGAGGCAACCACACATTGATGTTTCTCTCCCTCTAAATATAAATAAAAGTGAAATCTATAAACAAACAAACAAACAAATAAATAGAAGTCCCCAGCTGGTGTGGCTCGGTGGTTCGAATGCCAGGTTGGGGCACACACCTAGGTTGTGGGTTCATCCCTTGTCCAGGTGCAAGAGCTTGTGATCCCTGTTCTGGACACATACAGTATTCATTCCAGCACAGATCCTGGGTCTGGGTGCATACAAAGGCAACCAGTTGATGCTTCTCTTGCATTGATGTTTCTCTCTCTCCCTCCCTTTCTCTATCTAAAAAAAGCAAATTAAAATGTGCTAGGGTGAGGATAAAAAATACAGCAATAGCAAATACAGTTTAAATTAAGAATTTATACTTTGTGGCCATCCTGTCTAGCTTTTTTTGTTACAACCTGTTCTAAGATAATTTTTTCTTTTTAAAATGATGTTTAAAAAAAGAAAAGAATATATGACATAGATTTTTATGGCTTGCAAAGCCTAAAATATTGACTATCAGTCCCTTTACAGAAAAAGTTTGTAAACCCCTCAATTAAAAAGATGTAGTCTGTGGCAATGTACCCTGTAGAAAGAATGTCAGTGTTAGGAGAATATCTTCTTGGAACTGTTCTGTGTTATTTATTTTTGAAATATTAGTAAGATTTACCTTTGCACTTTCCCAAAGTTTCCATTTTATAGTGAGGGAATCCTAGATGTCATTTGTCTATGTTAGCAAGCAGTGATCAATGGCTTCAATAAAATACCAGTGCTGATTACTCCTTTTTACAGCTATTTGTTTCCTGATGGGCGGAATCAGAATCCCGACCTTACAGGCTTATGTGAACCAACTCCCCAAGACCACATCAAAGTGACCCAGGTGACTTTTGTTTTACATTATAACCATATTACCAGAGTCAAGCTTTTGTATGGACTTAATAGAATTGGTAGTAGAATTGTACTAAGTGATTGGAACACTTAAATTTTAAACCATTGACTAGATTAGTGAATTAATGTTGCATGTGGTTTTTCTTTAAATTATGCAGCTTTTAAAATGGGACCAAAGCTAGGTGATTTCTGTTTTATGGGAGAACATTGACCACTGCTGTGAAACTTTTATAAAAGCAAAATTTGTATAGACACTATAAATATTTCTTTAATATTTTCATTTTAAGCATTTATGTTTGCAGTCATTCATTCAACAAATATCTGAAATAAACTGAGTAATTTTTTTTTTTAATTAAAGGAACAATATGAATTATACTGTGAGATGGGTTCCACATTCCAACTGTGTAAAATATGTGCTGAAAATGATAAGGATGTAAAGATTGAGCCCTGTGGACACCTCATGTGTACGTCCTGTCTTACATCCTGGCAGGTATGGTCCAAATCATTCATTTCCTCAGCTGTGTAATCGCTCTGAAGAACTGGGAAGTGTGTATGGCTTGTTTTGCAGGGTAGGTTTTAAACTTTTGATTTCTTTTTTCATCTCTAGGAAATGTATTTCCTAGTGGATGAGTATTTTAGGATGAATATTTTAAGTACTTTCAGATGTGCCTGTTACCATCTGTTGTTTCTTCTGTAGGAATCAGAAGGCCAGGGCTGTCCTTTTTGCCGATGTGAAATTAAAGGTACTGAGCCTATTGTGGTAGATCCATTTGATCCTAGAGGAAGTGGCAGCCTATTGAGGCAAGGAACAGAGGGAGCTTCTTCACCAAATTATGATGATGATGATGATGAACGAGCTGATGATTCTTTCTTTATGATGAAGGAATTAGCTGGTGCCAAGGTAAGACTGCAATTTAAGAGACTGTGGCAAAATCCATTACGAGTTGTATTCTAAAGCTATAGAGCACTTAATGACATCCAAAGTACAAGGAGTAATAATAGCTAATACTTAATTGAGCACCTACTATGTCAGAGATACCTTGCTAAGAACTTTTCCTATTTTAACTCATATAACCCTCTGAGTAGATACTATTATTATCATTTAACAAATGATGAAACAGAGGCACAGAAAGGTTAAGGAATTTGCTGAAGGTCACACACATAGTAAGTTGAACTAGACTCTGTGGCCAGGCATTTTGGCTTAAAGGCCCAAGCTCTACTGTCTATATTCTAAAATTGGGCTTCACTCAGATAGCTTGGTGCAGAAAATGAAGGAGAGTAAAATAACTGGACCCTATTTTGCTACTGTGACTAGAATATTTTGTCCTTATCTTTCTTCTAATAGAATCTTGGCATTAGAAAGTTAGCTTTGATGGGGAGAAAGGAGGAACTGTTAATAAACAAATAAATGGCAACTAAAATGATTGCAAGCTGGTGGGAGGTACCATAGAGAAACAGAACAAACTAGAAAGGTCCTAGTGAAGATAGGAGAGATAAAGGCTATAAAAAGGATGTGATCAAATTTTGCTACATCAGATGGTAGGGTAAAACGGATTTATTCTTTAAATCTTAGAAGTCAGTTCATGTAGATTTTAGTAAATAGAGGGCAAACAAAAGATTCTAATATGCTGCATATTGTCTAGTTTAGCATGTTTCAAATTCATGTGGTGCATTTCCTTGGTACAAAAGAAGCCAGCACCTGACTGCTTGGCACATAGTAGGTGCTCAATAAATTTTGAAAGCATGGATTTTATCTCTTAAATAACTATATCCATTGTATCTTCTCCTCTGTATCCTCAGTGCCATTGCCCTATTTCAGGCTCTCATCATCATCTGTTCTCCCTGCTACCAGAGTCATGATCTACAACACAGATCTTGCCACCTTATTCCTTTACTTCATACCCTTTGGTGACTTTTCATTATTTAATGGGTTAAACTTATTCTTCTTTCCAGATACTTTGCACCCATAATCCTTTCCACTTTATATTTTGTGCTACTGCAAGGCTGAACCTCTAAAAACTTCTCCTTTTTGTCCGGATAGTTTCTGTGTAGTGTAGCTGTTTTTACTTCCTAGGAAACCTTTCCAAACTGTACCCTGCTTTCCTGACCCCCAACTCACTCACATGTATTTATACACATACAATCTAAGTTTGGCCTGATGTTTCTGCGATGTTGTGAATATGTCTCCCACAGAACTTATCACCTTGTAATAATTTATTAAACATATTTTTCATTGTAAGTTCCTAGAAGACAACAGCCATGTCTCATTTGTAATTAGCTTCTCAAAATTGAACACATAGTAATTACTCTGAATGTTTGAGATTTAAAAATACTTTAAAACAAGAGTAGATAAATTTATCTATGCCATATCACTACTGGATAGTTGAGGGCACTATATTTTTGTTTTTTTGAAGTTGATAGTAGTTTTGGCCCCTCATACAGGTTTTTTTTTTTTTTAATACAGATTTTATTATTTTATTTTTAGAGAGGGAAAGGGAGAAAGAGTGGGAGAGAAACATTGATATATGATATAAACATCGATTGCTTACCTCTCGTGTGCTCCCAACCAGGGTCCTGGCTCACAGTGTGGGCGTGTGCCCTGACCAAGAGTTGAACCAGTGACCCTTTGGTTTGCCAGATGATGCCCAATCCACTGAACCACACCTGTCAGGGCTGGTTCCTTTTTAAGAGATTCATTTGACCATGATAGCACTTTCATGTTCATGCATAGATTGCTATTTGTTCATTTGTGAAAATTTACTGGCAACTTCTGGACTATTAGGGTATATGAATGATAAGATAAAAAAAGTGTGACCTTTCATATATGTATTTATTTGGAATTAAATTACCCTTGTATTTTCTTTATGAACTTTTATAGATGGTGGAGAAACAGGTACTCACAGTCAGTGTTGATGTGGGCACAAATTAATTCAATCTTTTTGAAGAACAGTTTTGACAAACTCGAAATATATAATGTTCACAGCTTGAATTAGCAATTCCATTTCTAAAAATGTATCCTTAAGAAATACTTAAGTGATCCTGGCTGGTGTGGCTCACTTGGAGCATGGACCTGCAACCGAAAGGTAGCAGGTTCAATTCCCAGTCAGGACACATGCCTCGGTTGCAGGTTCAGTCCCCAGTGGGGGAGATTGAGAGGCAACTAATCCATGTTTCTCTCTCATACTGTTTCTCTCCTTTTCTCCCTCTTTTCCTTCTTCTCTCTCTAAAATCAATAAGTATGTCCTCAGATGAGGATAAAAAGAAAAAGAAATGTTTTTAGACAAGTGTACAAATCTGTAGGTGTGGTTATTCTTACAACATTATTTATAATAATAAAAAGTTAATGGGAGGGAGGTGGGGAGCAAGGGGCGGGGGAGGCTGGGATGGGAAAATAGACAAAAAACTGTACTTGAAAAATAACTAAATAAAAGTAATTAAAAAAAAAGTTAAGAACAACTCACATGTCCACATATGTAAGTATTCTATTGCCATAACAGATTATTACAAATTTAGTAGCTTAAAAGAACAAATTTATTCTCCTATAGGTCTGTAGGTCACAATTCCAACCCATTTCCCATCAGGCTAAAGTCAGGGTGTTAGCAGGTCTATTATTTCTTTATGGAGGCCCTAGGGAAGACTCCATTTCCTTACTCATTTGGGTTTGGCAAATTTAGTTCCTTTACAGTTGTAGGATTAAGTTCCCTGTTTCCCTACTGGTTGTCAGCTGACAGTATTCTCAGCTGCTAGTGGTCAGTTGCATTCTTTGGCTCCTGGACTCCTTTCTGCCTTTAATCTTGTCTCTCTGAGGTTCTGTGCTTCTAAGGACTCCATAGTTAGATTGGGCCCACTGCAGATCATCTAGGATAATTACCCCAATCTCAAGATCCATATCTTTAATCACATTAGCAAAATTGCCACATAAGGTATCACATTCACAAATTCTCGGTTTTAGGACGTGAATCTTGGAGGGCGGCAGCAGATCATTTGCTTGTTATAGTCCATATAATGAATGGAACACTGCAGAATGACTTCAGTTTTCATGTTCAGCTTTCCTTGAGAGGAAAGCTGCCTAATGTATATTGTTTTAAAAATAACTGTATACTCTGTTTAATATCACTTATTTCTATAAGAATAATTTGGTTGTAAAAAAATTTTTTACATGCACATGGAAAAAATTGGATGACTACACAGCAAATTACTATTTCTGAGTATACAAGTTCAGAGGACTTTAAATTTTATGAAATATTTGAGTTTTTTTAATTTTCAATTAACATATTGCTTTAACAAAGTATTTATTTTGCTAGGTAAGTAGCTCTGTGTTGAGTGCTGTATGGGATAAGAAACCTAAGACAAAGGCCCACAAGAAGCTAGTAGTTTTATTAGGGAAAAGAATATATATGCAGGCGAAACACTATTTAACAAAAGGCTGACAGTATATATTGGTCTCAATTGTAGAGTACATATTCTTTAAGTGTAAAGAACCTTAGAGGAAAGATGAAAATGAATGCTTTTTTCCATAGTTGATAAATATGAAAGACACTAAATTTAACTCATTTAAATAAAAGTAATAAATGTACGCTGTAGCCCTGACCGGGTAGCTTAGTTGGTTAGAGTATTGTCTCAATATGCCAAGGTTGCAGGTTCAATCTTCTGGTTACAGTTTATACAAGAATCAACTGATGGATGAATGCATGAATGGGTGGAACAAAAATTTGATGCTTCTTTCTCTGTCTCTCCCCTTCCCTCTCTCTTTCCACTTACCTCCCTCCCTTCCCCCTCTCCCCCCCACTTTCCCTCCTCCCTCTCTGTAAAAAAAAATTAAAAAAAATGTAAACTGTAAAAATTCAAGTAGAGAGAAAATAGCATCATTTATTGTTACTGAGTATGGTAATTTAGTCTTTTCTTAATGGACATTTCATATTGTTTGCAGGCTTATATACATATTGGCATTCTTTTGCATGCCTATCTTTAGGGTAAATTTCTAGTAGTGTAATTGCTGGATAAAAGAATTCTTATGGAAAAATCTAAACTGATAGAGCAGAGGAACATAATTAGGTTAGGGGATGCACGGAAATTTCACACAGGCAATGGTATTTCATTTCTTATCTGAGTGATAGGTACTGCATGGGTGTCATATTATTTGTACTTGATAGTTTATATAAGGTCTGAGTAAAATATTTACATGAACAAAATATTTCAGTAAAAATATTTTACATCTCTTGGTAGATATTAAAATTTGTCATCATTTTTTGTCCTCAAATCACTCTCAAAGGTGTATGAGACTATGAAAGTGCCCATGTTGTCACATCCTGGTAGCTATTGATTATTGTTTTGCTGCTGTTTTGTTTTATTTTCATTTGTTTATTTTTTTATTTTTTTAATTTTTTAGTTTTTATTTTTTTTACACTTTTTTTTATTGATTATGCCATTACATTTGTTCTATTCCCCCACTCCATTCCCCTCCACCCTGCATACCCCTCCCCCACCATTTCCCCCTTTAGTTCATGAACATGTGTCTCAAATTCTTTAGATTCTGTATTTCCCCTACTATTCTTACCCTCCCCCCTATCTATTTTCTATCTACTGTCTATGCTACTTATTTTCTGTACCTTCTCCCCCCTTCTCCTCCTCCCACTCCCCTGTTGCTAACCCTCCATGAGATCTTCATTTCTATGGTTCTGCTCCTGATCTAGCTGTCCTCTTAGTTTGCTTTTGTTTTAGGTGTGGTTCTTACTAACTGTGAGTTTGCTGTCCTTTCACTGTTCATCTTTTTTATCTTCTTTTTCTTAGGTAAGTCCCTTTAACATTTCATATAATAAGGGCTTGGTGATGATGAACTCCTTGAATTTGGTCTTATCTGAGAAGCACTTTATCTGTCCTTCCATTCTAAATGAAAACTTT